CTTCCCAATCAACTTCGCTATGTGTGCGTCCCATGAGCACTCCTTCGAAATCTCTACTCCCAGGTACGTATACTTGTGTACTACCGGTAGTTCTTCCTCCCCCCATTTCCATTTGAATTCTACGGGATTTTTCTTGTCTTCGTTACAGACCACTACTGCGCATTTTCCTACGTTCGCCGACAGTCTCCATTTTCGGGTGTATCCTACCGCCGCATCTATTTGTTCTTGCAACCCTTCTGGTGTTTCGGATACCCCCACAAAATCATCTGCAAACATCAGTCCGGACACACTCTTTCCCCCTACTTGGACTCCCTGTCTTACTGCTTCAACCGCCCTTATCAAATCGTTGATGTAAATCTTAAAAAGAGTGGGTGACATCGTACAGCCCTGTGCGACTCCTTGGAGTATATCCACGTACTTCGAAATTTCCCCATCCAACATCACCGCACTTCTTGTGCATTCTGTCATCTTTTTCAACATCCTCCACATTTTCCCCCGGATGCCGATGTCCCACATCTTTTTCCACAATCCATTGCGCCATACGGTGTCGTAGGCTTTTTGTACATCGAGGAAGAAACAGTATGTCGTACGCCCGGCGTCTTTCCTACCTTGGATGATTTTACTCAACGTATATACATGGTCTACACAACTACGATCTGGTCTAAATCCAGCTTGTCCTTCGCTGATCTTTTGTTTCCCCTCCAACATGTCTCCCATTCTATTGTCTAGCATCTTGCCAAACAGTTTCCCCACTGTGCTCAGCAGGGTTATCCCTCTATAATTCCCCGGGTCAGCTTTATCCCCCTTTTTGAACAGGTTCACGACTACTCCTTCTCCATCTCTTCGGCGCGTACTCGTGTTTCCATATCCAGTTGAATATCCGGACCAACATGTTAATCATCCCCTCCCCCCCCTGTTTCAAAAGCTCGTTCACAGTTCCATCAGCCCCTGCCGCTTTTCTATTCTTGAGTTTCGCTACGCAGTCCTCTACCTCTTCTCGTGTGAACTCTCCCTGCAACCCGTCTACACCACTACGTTCCCTCTGAGATCTTTCAACGTTTTCCTCTGCCCACGAGTTGATTTCCTTCTCAAACTCCGAGTCGAAGTTGTCGTTGGTGGTGGGTGTCCCAAGTTTGCGGTAATGCTCTACTAGTACTTGGGGGGGGGGGGGGGGCATGTTGGGGATGTACCAAGTGTTAAATTTTCTCG